ACTAGTCAGTCTCTTCAGGTATCGTAAAAACAAGCAGGTCAGTTGAAGTTACCGGAGGGAGAAGAGTGAAGAAAATTCAAGGCACCTGAAGTTCCAAAGCTCTGTCGGCTGCCTCACTGCAGAGACTGGCAAACAGCCTCGGTTGTCATCTCATCGCAGCTGGTTATCGGGGCTGTTCATTCACACACCCCTGCAAGTAGCTGTGCTGGTTCCTGCAACAGCGGGAATCCTTCAGTCTTGACTTGGTCAAAACTCAGAGCAACCTTTGTCTGGATGATGGCTGCAGGAGGTGACGATCTGGGAGGTTCAGCTTCCTGTCCTATAGCTAGGGACTTTATGCGTTGTGAGGTTTTTCCAATGTTAGCTAACAGCTACAGATTTAAAACTTCTTCTAGGTTTTTGTACTACTTCTATTCCCTGCTCAGGGTCTAAGCCAGTTACCACCAAAGTCTTTTTATTGGCTTTAATGGCTTTAGAACCAGATCCTTTCCCAAGTGCCTGTATCTGTCCTTGTCAATGATTGCTGCGAGCCCATAGCTTTGCTGGATCGTGGAGGAAGACTTTTCCACTGGAGAAGCAAGTGCTGTCTACTTGAAATTCACTCGCCGAGCCAGCAATTCCGTGGTTATCTTGCTCACCTACCATCATTGCTGTCGCTGTTGGCTCCAGCCCTCTCACATTCCAGGGTTGAGGTGCGTGGCTGTCGAGGCAGGATTTGTTTATCACTTCGTTGTGGAATTTGTGCTGTGTTTCCAGAGCCCAAGTGAAGGTGGTGAAGAGAGGTGAAGACCTCCTCTCTACTGTCCAAGAAAGCTGTATTACTTCAAAGTCTTTTATTGATTTTTTTTTTATTTTAATTCATTCTCCTCAAGAGGATTAAAAAAGCTTGGGAAGCTGCAATGTGTCTTGTCTGCTTGCAAAATACAGTTATTTTGCAGAGCACAAATTGGCTCATTTGATAAAAGAGGGTTAGCGTCTCACTGGACAGTAGAGTACACCGTTGTGGAGAACTTTATTGGATAAATACTAGAAAAATAAATTCTGTGAAATGGTTCACATGTATTTTAACTATATTGAAGACTCTTGATGCTCTCTTTTCTTAAGGTGACTTTGCTGTACCTGCCTTTATGTTTCATAAGGGGTGGGAGCTGTCGGGCAGCTGGCCAAATTAAGCTTGGGACGTTGTTTTTTTGAGTGCATATCCTTTAAAGTTTTGTGCTGCAAAGGCTTTTACAGTGGCTTTTCAAATGGCTTCAAGCCAAGGCAAAAATCTCACGGAAGGTAGTGGGAGTTTTGCCTTGACTTCGCCAGTGCTGATGTTTCGTGGCAGAATTTGAGGGGAGGCCTAATTTCCTGAGATTTTTCTAAATAAAATTTTCTCATGCATATTGATTCTCAAGAGAGGCTGGAATTGATCCAGTTCTATTTCCCTCACATCAGAAGAGCTATACTGTGTCTGAATTAACTTCCTACTCTGAAATAAAAGTTCTTGAATACAGTGTGATTAACTGTACTTCTGATAGTGCAAGTTGTTTTGGGTTTTTATTATTATAAAATGAATTCCTTTCTAGGGTGAAGAAACAAACCCGGGAGAAGCGCTGCCGTACGTAAGGTCGCATCTGCCTCCTTAGCCAAGATCACTGCTGGGGGGAAGTACTATGGTTCTTAATTCAGGGAGGGTGTTAGTTTCTAGATGTTGTTAATTCATTACCAAATAGACCAGAATTTCTTTTTTGCAATAAATTCCATAAAAACTTTAATTTAAAGTGGTGATGCTGAGCATCACGAGAGCAGTGCTCTTCGTGTAGGTACATTTGCAAGCACATTGATATATGTGGAGAAAAGTGCTGTGAGTCTGGAAGCTATTTGTAGTAGTCAAAGGCTAAAGAAATGGTACAGGTGAAATATTTGTCACTGAAGTGCCCAAAGGTACGAGGAACTGAGCTAAACGTCTTTCCACAGAATTCCTACTGAAGGAGAAAAATTAGGGTGTTATCTTTTTCTCTCTTAAAATACCCAAAGTCTTACATGAGCTGTTATCCCGGCAAAGTCCTACACCACTGTGGTTTCCTAAATAGCTGGTGGCATCGCTGCTAAGGCCAGTAGTGGTGACAGGATTTTTAATAAGTGATGCAAATAAATTTGAAACCAGGCTTAAAAGTTTAATAGGGGTAAATATGCAGAACGAGACACGGAGCGAAGTGGCCAGTTCCCAGCTGGAAAGAGGGGTTCTCCTGTCCCAGGGGCGATGAGAGCGCTCCCTGTGTGTCCCAGCTTGGTGAAGAGGAGGGTGTTGCTTTGGGGGTTGAATCGGTACAGGGAGATACAGAAGTCTCTTGAGGTCTTCAGCGGAGTGACTGGGATTTTTCTCTTTCCACCTGAAGGCTCCTAAAGTTTAGACTCGGCAGCAAGTACCCAAAAGTGTTTCTGCTTGCAGTAAGCAGTGAGCTTATGCGGGTCTCAGGGACCTGAACGTTCACATTGAGGTTGCGCTACAGTAAGAGGTGGTTGTAAGAGTCGTGGTGTTGCTGTTGTGGTGGGTAGGATGGAAGGAGAGCATTTTAACAGGCAGAGGACTCTGCATGGAGACGTCTCTCCTAAACCCTCGTCCGCTTTGGTGCAGTTCAGTGAGTTCATTGATGTAGTCATGACGCGTCCTCTAGTTACAGCGCAGGCTTCAGAACTTGGCTTTGTAATCTACTGTGCTTAACTGGTGAGAGAGCGAATAAACTGGTCTGATTCACCGAGTTAAAAATGAACACTGTGCGGTCTGTCGCGTGGCGGGGAGGCGAAATACTGGTAGTGAGGTAGAGCTGAAATGGGACAGCAAAGTAATTGTACGTCTGTGATTGCAATTTGTAATAGCAAAATAATTGTGTGACTTGCCTCACGTGCCCAGACCTTTTAAACCCTCTTTTTATTAAGAGTTGCTTCTTTTTTTTTTTTTTTTTACTTGGCAGCCTCAAAGCTGTCAGCCAAACTGACGTTCCACTGTGCCTGAATTTGTAAAGAACGGGAAAAGCCAGCCAGGTAATCGAACAGCTCTCGCTTCTGAGAGCATAAACAGTGAGGAACTGTTCTCCCTCCGCTAGCGGCCAACCTGGCTGGAAAACAGCTCTCAAAATAATCCAGAGGGTCAAAGGGGTCTCCTGGGGAAGAGGCCCCCTTCTCTGGCTGCCGCCTTGTTCCCATCCTTGCTAATTGCCGTGGCGTTCAGCAAGAGGTGCTCTGGCTCGCCGGCCCGCGGGAAGGCACAGCTCTAACGTGGCAGCGCTGGGTAGCTGGCCCAGAAAGGTGAGGCCATGGGACATCAGCTCTTTGTCACGGTAACGTACAGGAGACTTGGTCCCTGAGCGTGTCTTACTCAAAGCTTCTGCCCGGTCAGGCTAAACTAATTGCAGGAATCTGGATACGTAGTGGAAAAACACGTGAATGTGGAAGAACTCGGTGTACGGAACCTGTGTTGATGCTGTCGCTAAAGTAATTTGAAATAAGCACGGAGCGGCAACACGGTTTGTATGATCCAAGACATCAGAGGACACTCGCAACAGGTTTGTGTGTCCCAGATGATGATTTGTATGATCCAAAATGATGCGTATGATCCAAGACAACAGAGGACGCAGAGACTTTTATTTTTCCCCTCTGCTGCGCCCTCGGACAGCAGCAGAGCAGCTCTCCCTGCAGTTTGCCTGCTGGACTGCAAAGAAACGTGAAAGCTGCCGCTTCGAAATGCCTGTGGAATTGATTTTTTGTGGCTGCATGGTCTAAAATTTCTGATAGAGATAGGAGGTTCTTGTTATGTTGTTATGTGATACACAGCAAATAGATTTCTGAAATCATGTACTTCTAGGTAATGTGTTAAACCACAGTGTCATCACTTCAAAGCTGCCCCCGGGGCTGTTAAATGGATCCCTTTCTATTGCTCCTGAGCCAATACTTGGTGGATGCTGGTAACAGCCCTCGCATCTGATGGCGAACGACCGCCAGATCCGCCCCGTCGGCATCGCCGCAGAGCTGTGGGAGCCTGGCTGATGGAGGAGGATGGACCGCGCCGCTGTGCATCACCGGGGGGGTGGACAAGCCAGGGCCGAAATACCTCTCTTGATCCCGAATGAAACAGCCTGGGTATGGATATTGGCGTATTCATTCTTCTAACAAAATAGGACAGTTTCACACAAAAGTTTCAAACATTTCTGGGTTTTTTTTTTTCAGATTTTTCTTGCACGAAGCCAAAATCCCTATGCAGTTGCTCACGTTCTCTCTGAATAGCTGCTTTTGCTGCATATGCTTCAATATTTGGTTTTTTTTTTACTTGAGCTGACCCTATGCACATAAAAGTCAGGGTCAGGAAAACGCTCTGGCTGAAGCTTCCCTTCTAAATGGCAGAACTTTACACTGGTTTGTTAGGACCTGCCAGGAATTCCATAGAGATCACCCAAGGCTTGAAAAGTTGCATTTTCACAGCTTGCGTCGCCGTCGCTTTGGTGGCTGGTGACGAAGCCTTGCTGAGTAGATCCAGAGCACAAACGCCCCCGGTGCTCTTGAGTTCGCTACCTCCTGTTGAATACAAGGCATCCTCCCGTTATCGCGGAGCTTTTCTTGGTTATTAACTCAGGCTAATGCTAGGAGTGTAATGCAAGAGAGTGTAGAAGGGAATTATTCCTTTCCTAAGGAAGACGAGGCCGAATGCATTGGTGCTGCTGCTCTGGGACTGGCTTGTTGTGCCTATCGGGGAGCGGGGGGGGAAAACCCCTCACCAGCATATACTCACGTGGTAGCTATAGTGTTTTGCCTTTTAATATCAATACATCGTTGTTCTAACTGGCTGCGATTTATTTTATTTTATCTTGGCGTGACGACGCATCGGATGGGCAGGATGCTTATAGCTAGGCGTGCCGGGCAATGCAAGGTGATGGCTAGTCCAAAAAAAAAAAGCGTCACCTCTGCAATCACTACGTCAGGAACGAGCACTAAGGTTGGTCAGGATCTCCAGCAGAGGAAATTTAATTACAGATAAAATATCAAGTAAAATTCCTGCAGTTTATTCCAAGCGATTACCTTTCCTCTTCAAGTGTAACTTCAGCAGGGCTAACTAATTTTAGTTGCAGTTAAGAGTGGTGAGGTACTGAAGTTTTGACCCTGCTCTTAAAACAGTTGGCCAAAGAATTTCCATCAGCAATCAAGACCTCAGCTACACCTGAGCACTAATTGCTGCCACTGATGACCTGGGGTTGGTTTTTTTTTAACTTGTGGAGGCAGTTGGTCAGCTGTTTTAAATTATTTCATTGAAGCCAGCAGACCTGCTCTAATTTCCACCAAGTAAAGGTGCAGCTCGTTGTACTTTAATGTGTCAAGGAAGGTTAAACATTGCCAGGCATGTGTGCTCGCTGTTCCAAGCGGGTCACTTGGAGCTTTTTGTGCCCTTAAGTTTTCGTGCAGGCTGGCACTTGCATAGGGCAACTGTTCCCTAAATCTGGAAGTTGTCCAGGGGCTACATGCCCATACGCACACGCGCACCCGGGGCTCACAGCAGCTGCTTGGTGACGACAGTAACATCTTGTATCAGCTGCAAGGGTAAGTTATGTGTTGGCTTTTTCCTAGGATCTTCCTCTATTATAATCCTCTTTGTTTCCAGGGGAATAACGGCATCTGACAGCCGCCTTTGTCGGGAGCAGATCTTTGCTGGGGAATGCAGGCAGCCTGGATGGTACAAACCCCTTAGGGCTGGTTTAGAGATGTGAAGTTTGGTTTTGCCATGTGAGGGTTTTCTGTGCCCTGTTCACCTGCAGGGTTTAACTCTGGGGTACGTACATCAACGTGTGCCTTAACCCGGTGACTGAGATGGAATCATTTGCTTGTGAGCACGTCCTAAATGTTACACTTAAAATCTCTTAAAATAGCAAATCCTAGCAGCAGCGCAGCAAAGCTGGGGTTGCTGCAAGACACCAAACCACCTCCATTTTCTAGTCAAACAGACCCCCCCTCCCGGCTGGCGGGTGAGGGAGGAGGCAGGTTTTCACTGGTGGGTAGTGGGGGCTCAGAGCCCCGTGGCTGGTCGCCCCCTGAGCTCGACCCCCCCCTGCCTCTTCTGCCAGGATTTGGTGGATGTTGTATCCCCTCGACGTGGGTAAGTTGTGTCTGTGAGATGCTTTTGGCCTTTGGGCTCTCAATACCGTGAAAATAATTTAAATTGCTTTGTGAGCAGTTGGGTCTTGAGGCAGTGAAGACCCCATAAATGTCCTGCAGGTTTTGGAGGGGCTTTGCCTGGGCTTGTGCGAGGACAGGGCTCAGGAGAAGGGCACGGATTCATGGCAGATGGTTGCAAACCTCCTGCTCTCCCTCTGAGCAGCCCTTCGAGGAAGGGGACCCAGGCGTGACGCCCGATGCAGGCTTTGCTGAGAAGCTGATGTGGTGACAGGAGAAAAAGCCCCAAGACCTTCAATGAACTCAGGTGTTGCTACAATACTTGGGGGGGGTTTGTACCAGGCAGGGTTTCCCAAGGGCTGACTTTGCTGCAGAGCCCACGTGGCTGCTGCTCAGCCCCAGAACCTCCAGCGGATCCACCACAGGGGTGCCCTAGCTCAAGAAAAACCAAAGCTGAAAAATCTTGAACCAAGTAATTTACTAATTTGAGTAGAACTTAAACACTGGAGTGGAGCTGACAAGCTCGAGATAAACGTGGTTATTTAGTTATTCTCCATATTTTTGTTTACTCGCAGGAGTTAGATATATTCCATTTTTTATTTTGTCCAGTGATCTTTGCTTCAAGGGGGAGTGTTATGTGGCAAATGTGTTTTAAATGCAGAAGTACATAAAGTTTCAAGAATATTGACAAATAGAGGTTGGTGATGAATAGTAAAGTGAGCCCCAGAGGTGCAGGAGCAAAGTGTATTTGTGTAGAGGTGTGGAAAAGAAAATTAGTGAGGGGAGAGGGCAGGGTCATTGCTGACTTGGTGCTTTGGAGTCTGGGAGAGAGGAGAGTGGAAAAGTTTGGGATTTAGAGACAAAAGCATAGACAATAACATTAGTAATTCTTACAGGCAGGAATCAGAGTAGGAATCAAAGGAAACCCAGGTATTTTACTCCATCCTGTTATTTATGAAAGGCAGCCAGAGCAGCACATGACTCGGCGTGGGGGCTTTCCCTGCAAGCCAACATCCTCCTGGTTGTGCCCCCAGGGTCCGGGTGACGGGACCCCCCACTCCTGCCCCTTCTCCTCCTGCTGCTCCTCTGATCCCCGCCATCAACACAAAACATGACCGTGTCCTTCCTAAAACCACTCGGCGGCGTGCTGCTTGTGTCCCTTCCCAAGGGGACACGTCCCATTTACTGACCCAGACATTCCCCAGGAAGGGGAACAAATGTGGGGCTGCCCTACTGGCGCGGGGGGGTTGGTCTTTGCCACCCTCCAAGGCTGCAGCTCTTCCACCTAATCTCATTAAAGATGTGAGAGCCAAACACCTCCTATTGCTTCTGCCAGGTTTTTTTCTTTCTTTTTTTTTTTTTTTTTTAAATTTTTTAACTAAAACCTCAATAATCATCACGTCTGTGGTTAGTTGTTCTGCCTAGGAAACTATTTATGGTGTGGACTGTGGCCTTTCTCTACAGACTGCACGTTCAGCAAAGGTTTGTGACCAACTCCTCCTCCATATGCATCTTCTGTCCTCATTTTTCTGAAGAGACATATATGTGTGTATATATAAATATATATGCATGGCAAATTCTGTATATAAACTTATATGGTACTTATAGACAGATGGACAGTAGCGTGCCTGCCCGTCTCTTACACGAGTTGACGTTTTACGAGCATGCACAGAGTCAGAGACTGAAAATCTTGCGCGTAAGAACCCTTTATAAAGGAGGATTTTCACAAACTTTTTCACAGACAAACCTAACGGCTCCGGCTGGCTGGGTTGCCACCTAGGCAACTGTAGGATATTTCCTCTCTCTCTGTTATCATTTGGGTTTTCTGCTGGGTCTGATGCTGGAAAACGGCTGTGGGCTCGCTGAATCCTGGTGATGGAAAGGGCCTTGGGAGGCCATCGGGTCCAACCCCTGCCCACCGTGGGGCCAGCGAGGAAACCTGGGAGTCTGGAAAGACACCGAGGTGTCGATGAGCAAAATGTCAATACAATTAACCCCTTGCTTCCCTGCTCCCACCTACCCCTGACAAAAACGGTTGCTGAAAACCTGTTGAAAGTATCCCAATGAAAATTAAACTGAAAAAGCTTTGACCAGCTCTGCTATTCCCAAGTTGTAATGAATGAGGCTTTCTGCTATGCACTAATGCCCACAGCGAGGATAAGGAATAGCTGGTTTGGTTTTTTTTTCTCTTGACAAGCATCCTGCCATCGCCCATGAAGGAAAGAAACCGTGGTCTTATCTGAACTAGAGCCAAAGGCTGGTGGTGGAGCTTTAAGCCCGCCACCCAAACCTGAAATCCTCATAAAAAAACTGGACTAAATAATAGTTGCAAACTGACTGTGTGGTCTTTATCTTCTACAGGCTGCTGCTGCCTTTAAAATGTGCCCTTCACCTTGGCAATGGCAATGCTTGCTTTAATTTTTTTGTTTAGCAAGGCTCAGGCTGGTGTTTCGGGAGCCGCACAAAGGTCCCATCGCAGTGGAGTCTGACGGTGGAACCAAACAGGATTACGAGACTGGAATTTCATGCAGCTGGGTGTTATGCTTCAGCAAGGATGTAAGTAAGCTCTACTGCTGAAATTGCAGTGTCTGGCAGATTGGAAAAGCTTTGAGAAAAGCAAATGTGCTTGTTTAAGGGAAACATGGGGGGGGGGGGGGGGGATGTGTCTAAAAGCCACAGCGATACCCCACAGTGACTAAGCGATGGCTGGTAGAAAATGTTGGAACATGAACTCGTTGGAATATATTTCCTCTGGAGAACACTCAAAATTTTGATTACTGGGATGTTTGGCCCTTTGCCACTGTCCCAAATCAATGCTTTTTGGGTGGGAGGATGGGGTCAGTAGTTTCTAACACACGTGAACTGACAAGCTGGAGTTCAGCCCGTCTTCAGTAGAGCTTGATAGGGACACCTGTAGGGTGACTGAAACCTGCTTGACTTTTACATTGGCCAACAGTGAAACGTTTATAAACATCAGTAAATCTGGTTCTTTCAGCTTGCTTCTCTCAGCGTATGAAAACTTACTCTGGGCAGGGGTTTTTTTTGACAGCTTGGTATTACTTACTTTGGTTTTTTCCAGTATCATCAACCCCATGTTGAATTTGTTTGCATTTATTGTGGAGAGACACCGTCATGTTGAAGATATCCTGCAATCTTTTTAGTCTAAGACTTGTAGGTTTGAATGCTGTACGATGAAATGTGTCCCAGTTACATGCCTAAAAGCTGATGAAATCTTAAAAAGGGCTAGAAGCCTGAAATCCTGTAAATACATATAAATTGAGATATATTTTAAATGCTTTTAAATATACAATGCCGATGCTAAAGGAGTGAAGTTAGTTAGTAGATCAGCCTGGGAGATGGGTGGCTGACAGTTGGCTAAGGAGGAGGCTAAGTGGACTACAGGATTAATGTCAAGGGGAATCCCACCCAGAGGTGAGCAAAGAGAAATTGATGCAAGAACTGATCTCATGAGCTAAAACGAGCTTGGCATCGTAAAGCGTATATGAGCAAGATGCAACAAAGCAATGGAAGCCCATTCTGCCATGCATCTGGAATTGGGATGCTGTGGGGTGTACGAGGACTTTGATTCAGAGGCTTGGTTACCATCTTGGGTTTTTTAATTCTGAACTGATGCCACTTTGGGCATTGCCATTTCCAAGGTTTGCACCTTCAGGTCATGAGAGTTCACTTACGCTTGGCTTTGATTCCACAATATACATATTTTAAGCACATTTTTCATTTCCTTTACCTACATACAGGTATGGGTGACACTGTTTACCAGAGTCAGAGCTCAGCTTGTGGGCAGTTCCTTGGTGGAAAGAGCAAGTTGTGATGCCAAGTCATCTCCCCAGCCTTGACCAGGAATATATGGGAACCTCCAGGCATTAGTGAGACACTTGGGATATAAGTAAGTAAGTTTTGCTGATTGCTTGAGCCTCTTAAAGGGGGTAAAAAAATGCTCTCAAAAGCTTTGCCCAGCTTGTTACTCCCAACTGGTTTGTTGGTTGGTTTTTTTTTTTTTTTTGTGGGACTGTGCCAGATTTTGGCTGGCAATGGAGAAGAGGTCTCAGGTCTCAAAAAAAAAAAAAAAATAAAAATTAGAGATTACAGCTACTGCAGGTTCAGCATTGCTTTGGCTGCTTTGGTGCTGGGTGGGTTTTGCATGAAGTGGGCTGCTGAAAGCTGGGCTGGGCTGCATGACAACTTGCCCAAGCAGGCGTAGGCTGTGTCTTGTCAGGCTTAAGGGGAGGAAAAGAGCCATGAGGTTGAGATGAGTTGGTTTTACTGACAGTGAAATCACCTGCTTCACAGAAATTAAAGCAAAGCATTTGTTAGCTACCATCTGCCTTCAGCTCACGGTGCTGTAACGCAGACACATCGGTCGCTCCACAGCGCGCTAGAGCAGGGCTGCGTGCCCGGGGGCCATCCCGTTCCCGAACCCCAGCGGGGACTGGGGCTTCCAGAGGCACCCACTGAAATGGGATAACAAAGCCTCATCCCTCAAGGTGCCCCGGATGCTGAATTGCCAGAGGGAACCTTATTGTAGGGCTAAGGGGCAGTTCTGGAGCTGTAAGTCGAGGTACTGTGGTTAACGGTGCTGCTGCAAATTGCATTTGTTCAGCTTAAAGGTGTGGGAATGGGGGCTGTGCAGAAACACTGCGGGCTGCCGCCAGCTTCGCATCACCCACAAATAACTTTGAAACCTTTCCTTAGCTGCATGGAGTTGTTTACATCCCTGTAATTGTGGGGTTCAGGAGGGGACATTAGAAGTAACTATGTGAAAACCTCCAGAACACGCCGGGACTAAATTAGCATGACATGATAATTACGGATAATGTAAAGTTCTCCCAGAGCAGGCAAGGGAAAGGGAGATCCAGGAGTCACAAACTAAACAGGAGCCGCCTCAGACTTAGCTTATTAAATGCCCAGTATAAACCAATTTGTAACAACCAACCCTGGGAGCTCAACAGGAGGAAACCATGGGGAAGATTCATTAGCTACAGGTGGAGTGAAACCAAAATCCTCTAAAGACACCTCAGCTCTTTTTTCTTTTTTCTTTTTTTTCTTTTTTTTTCTTTTTTTTTTCTTTTTTTTTTTTTTGCTAATAGGACATTGGAGAAAGGAAAAGGGGACAGGGACGCTGACAGCAGTGTCCCAGGGTGGGGGGTGGCACCTGCCCAAAGAGCAGGACTGGTGATAGCAATAGTACGTTGTTATCGGACACCTCGCACGTCAGCTGAATATTTAAAACATTTATTTATACAAATGTACAGCATTTACAAGAGTTAAAAAATTAGACATTTAAAAGCAATATCACATATATAGAGCCCTAAAAATAAATACAGTGCAGCTCAGCATTTATGTGCCTTAAAAAAAAACAAAACAAAAAACACCAAACCCCAACAGCTCTGTGGGCAGAACGGCCCAACCTGCTGGGGTGGGGAGGATCCTGCACAGGTTCTCCACTTGGTCTCAGTCAACTTAATTTGCTTTTTAAAGCTGGACGTGTCCATAATCCTTCTACCACAGCCGGAGGGAGCAGCGCAGTTGGAGCAGCTCAGGTCCCTTCTGAAGAGCACAACCGTGGCACGCCAGTGGGGGCGAGGGACCGGGGCAGCACAAGAACCGGGGCTTTCTCCAGCTACAGCAACGTCGCTGTCGGAGCAAGGCTGGTGACGTGCTTAAGGAGTGGCTCTTGCCCAGGTATTTGCAAAGCACTGGGCTTGGCGTCACCGCGTGGCTGGCAGCGGGGTACCCTAGGTGGGATGCAGTATTTCTATCTATCTAAGCTACTTTTCCTAGGCACGTCCACCATGTGCCCAAGCTGAGACAATTTAACCCTCCACCTTAGCATGGATCATCAGCATCAATGGCATCAACCACGAATCAACCCCTGAAATACCACTTTTTCCTCCACTGACTACAAAGCATTAGAAGGGGCTGCCCAGGGAAGGGGTCAGGTCCCCATCCCTAGGGACATTTAAAAGCCGGGCAGACGAGGTGCTTAGGGACAGGGTTTAGTGGTGGGATGGCAGGGATAGGGGAACAGTTGGGCTGGGGAAGCTTAAAGGGCTTTTCCAGCCTAAACGATTCTGTGATTCTATGAAAGGTTGGCTTAATAACTCTGTAACACCAATAACTAAATTTGATGGGTGGCATCCCAGTCTTCGTGGGTAGAGCGCACTATCAAGTACCCAAAAAAAAGTCTCTGGTCTGCCTGAGGTCCACCTAAACACAGTACGAAGACCCTGTCTGTTAGTGCACACGATGAGCCCGCTAGCCCTGGAGCCCACGTCATCTCACCACAGGCACCGTGCCTTTCATGTGTGGTAGTGGTCCTTAAAGTCCAACACCTTATGAAGAAATCTGGCTTTTCCAGCAGCTCAGCCCACGCAGTTACACCTATCTAGCTCGGCGTTACCATACCACAGGTTAGGCTTGGTGAGCTCTGTTAAATAACAATGAAACTGCAAAATATATGGAAAGTACAGGGAGATGACATACAGAGAAGCCAGAAGACTTAGGCAGAAACCTGACCGTAAGCTGTTGACCAAGGCAGTCAGGTCAGGTGGTGACTTCTGCTTCTTGCTCCTGGTTAGGTACCTTATTGACTGGCTCTGAAACGCACATGTTTAACAAGGCCCAAAATAAAAATATAAATCCTTAAAGCGTCCAGCTGAGCTGCCCCCACCCTGAAAAATCAGTTGGACTTGATGATCGTAAAGGTCTTTTCCAACCTAAATGATTCTATGAAAGCACCTGAAATTAAACTGGGGGCACTGCTCTCGGTTCTCCTCCTCCTTTGCCTCCAATAAAACTCCCCGGAGTGCAAGCAGAGTTCATCCCGAAGGCCACAAAGCTGAAGACAACACCTCACATGCTCAGATCCGCGGTTTTCCAGCTATTAATGGTATCCAACAGGGATGCTGCCAGATGAGGACTTGCTGGTACCCTCCGGGAGCCCTTTCAAAGCAGTGATGGTGTTTACAAAGCCTTTGGATTCCAGCGTTGGCTTCCTTCACCTGCCTTCTGCTGTATAACTCATGACAAAAAAGCATTTCGGAGCATAATCATACTGGAACTTGATAAAGTGCAAGTTACCTTGGAGCATGACTAGCCAAAAATTATTAACTCATGAAAGAACAATTTATGACTATAGTGGGTTTTTAAAAAAAAAAATATTCCCCCAAACCCCAAAGAATTAATTATTTAAAAGTCTGATTTAACTTTAAAACAAGTCCATGGACACCCTGCTTTTATTACTGACCCTGCAAAACAAAGCTGATTCTTTTTCAATAGTGAGGCAAAACTTTATATATATATATATATATATATTTATGATAATTTATATATTACAGGTTTACCCACTTGCAAAACAACCATTTTCCCTGGCAATATCAGTATTAAGAATCTTTTAAACTCTTTAGATCCTACTCAACATACAAAAATAAATATTGCATACGTGATTTCCAAGCAAAACAAGCAACACGGGTCACCCAGGTGCAGCCGTAGCTAGTAACAGCCCATGCTCCGCAGTGGGAGTGCATTAAATAAAATAACAGAAGCTATTCAGGATCAGCTCGCTCTCATGCTGTAGGACTGGGTGCCAAAATACGAAAAGGCCCCAAAACCCGTCTCGGCAGGCACCAGCATCTCTACCTGGACACCCACCGGCTCTTCGTTCACCTTCCTCCTCTCAGGAGAGGGTCATGGACCGCACACCCTCTAATGATATTCAACAACAGAGGTTTTAGCATTTTTCTGGTTTGGTTTATAAACCAAGTGATTTTCTGTACATCCCAGTGTTGTTACGGGGGTGGCTCTCCACGCTGCTGGTGGACAACCTCGAGGGAAGCATCTGCATGCGACGCCGGCCTGATCCAAGCTGCTCCCTTCACCTCATCCCTTCCAGCTCCCGCTGCCTTGCTGCAAGCTCCTGCCCTCTCCCAGAGGAGCAGGAGACATGGGGAGACTGCAAAGACATACTGACTCTATATGATGTACCATATGTTCTCTAAGCAGGTTAACGAGAGACCGGAGTTAGTGCTCTGGCAAAGTGTAACAGGTTTCAAAGGAGTAAGTGATGATAGTAGCAGCTGGCAGTGATAGAGTAGTTTTAAATAACGTTTCTTCACAGAGAAAAGACAGACATTAAGAAAAGCGTATGCATCGGTCTCAGCCATGGATTCCGGGAACCTTTTGCGTGAGTTTCTTCACAAAACAGTAGGGGAACGTGTGATGGTTTTACCCCCTCCAAACGCATCCCAGGCTCGCTAGTTCATCATGGAGAAGAAATGAGGAGGATAAAATCAGTCTTTCAAAGACAACTCCGAAGCGCAGGCTCCGTAGGGGGAGGTTGAACGTTCACGGCCATGTTCTCACCCAGCTCAGCTGTCCGGCCCCGCCACGCGTGACAGCGTCACCCAGCGCTGTGACATCAACCCCAGCCAGAGACACGCCGTCGTCAGCAGGGCGGGACGGGAAAGTCTCGGTGTTTTGTTGAGGGGGGAGAGGGTTGTAAAGACGGCGCTTGTTGTGTTCCGTGGCAGGGGCAAGTTGCAGATGCTTCCTTCGCAGCAGGAGGTGCAGATCTGAAAGAAACCAGGTTGGGACTTGGTGATTTGAAAAATACCACTGCCGTCGAATAAAGATGTAGGGGAAATAATACGACATTTGCAAAAGAGCACAGGGGCCAGTCTGATTTTTTTTTTTCCCCTTTTTTTTTCTTTTTCCTTTTTTTCCTGTTTTGTTGTGGTGTTTGGTTTTTTTTTTTTTAAATCCATCTACTTGCTTAGGGCCAGGGTTTGGGGGTGGGATGGCCGGGTTAGGGGAACGGTTGGGCTTGGGGAGCTTAAGGGGCTTTTCCAACCTAAACAATTCTGTGATTCTACTTGGAGAGCAATTTCACCTGTACAGGAACAGTACTTTGGCTGGTGCAAGGAGGACACCTCCATTTTGGAGATTTTTTTTTTTTCTTTTCTACCCCAAAAAAGCAAACTGATGAACACCAGTGCTGTCTGGCTGAGGTCGAGCTCTCAAGCCAGAACCCAAAGAAATCCGTATTTATTCATATCGGGGTTTTTTTGGTTGCTTATCACCCACAGACAATTCCTGTGTCAGCCCGTAAGGACGTGCAGCTCTGCCTTCTCAGGGCCAGTTCCAGCACCCTGCCAGGGCGCAGAGATTTAGAGCAACAAGACTGACGCCCCCGAGGCCAAGAGAGCATAAAATTAGGTGCAAAACCAGAGACGGGGCCGCAGCGTGCCTGGCAGCTCAGCAAGCTCTTTGATTTTAACCCGTTGGAGTTCCAACAAGGTCGACTGTTGACCTTTAGAAAAACCTGTAATAAATAACTGTTTGATTCAGATATAAAGCATCTTCTCTGAAGGTTTCGGGGCTTTCCCCTACCCTGGTTGGCGAGCACCCGGCGCAGAGCGGAGGGGAGCAAACACGGGGAGCAAACTGCAGCCAGAAGGGAGCGGTTTGCTCCCCTGAGCAGGAGAGTTATTTAAAGAGATTATGCTTTTGTTCTGGGAGAGTTTATTCCTTGGTTTCTGTAACAAATGGAAATGAGCTGGAACTTGTTAAGAAGAGAAATTTCATTTCTGACCATGCTGATTTACCCGCTGAACCAGTCAGGCTTCTGGTGGCGGCCAGAAGGATTCCACCCAGTGAGAAAAAGGCAATTTTTATCCTATACCTTGTATTCTTCATGCTTTACATAGGTGCATCCCGTAGACAGGCAGTCCTCTAACGGCACGCAGCGCTTGGTGACGGATACGCTTTCTCCAGTAACTTTCATTATGTGCTGGCTAAAGCAGTATCTTGTACCTAGAAAGACAGAAAAAATGTGTTTATCTGTCAAATTCAAGATTTGTGATAGTCTACAAATAGGAAGAAATAGGAAATAAGTGGGGTTTTTTTTTTTCAAATCTTGGGATTTAAAAAATAAATTATTTTAATGTATTTATTGTAATACGTAAACGTCACTAAATACACACACCACCCCCCGCCCCCCCAAGCTCTGGTGCAAACCTGAGGTTTCAGCGCACACGGAGATTGGTTCCCAATACTAATGTGGAGCTCTATGTTACAGCTAAAGCAACATACGTTGGGTAATTAACTTATGGCGGGAGGGTCAGATGAGCACCCCAAATCTTACGCACTGATAGTTTTATAGGAATTGTCTTTAAAAAAAAGAAAACGTTTGTGATACCTGTTTATGTCTGAAGCTAACTTTCATTTGTGTAGGTTTAATTTTTTCCTAGCCTCACACACAGCCATTAATCCTGCACAACTCCCTAACGCAT